TTTTTAACGAAATATTGTACAATGCATTTCTCGAAAGTGATTTACTGAACTAGAGGGCAAGTGCCATGACAAGGCACATTCTTCTGTTCTATTAACATCGCTCTTTATACTGAATTTTCATATTTACAAACCCACCTACCGAACTTATTAAAGGGGATAGGCAAACGCATTTTATAAAGAGGTTTTTTTTCTCTCTATCTTTAAAAAATGCCAATATAGACAAGTTAGCGCCGAAATACAATAGAAGAAAACTTTTTTTAAATGGAACGCCTTGTACATGTTTGCTTTATTTTCATTATATTTACAAAAGGCACAAAAATAATTCTTATTTCTACGCAGAATAGGTAATAATAATAATATTAACAATAATAATAATAATAATATTAATAATAATAATAATAATATGTTTATTTCTTGCACTTCGTATTTACATTTATCTATTAGCAGTAAACCAAAAGCACAGCGCAAAAAAATTAAACTGGGAAATAATTTCAAAAAAGATCAAAGCCCAGTCCCTAATTTCGTAGCTACTTATATCTTAACATATTATGATATACACTGAATATATCAATTCATTGACATGAATACACACAAAAAAACAAAACTGTACAGTATCTTATTTATTATTATAAAAAACGACTGTATGAAACTGTTGACGTTACTGCGTGGAAAATGAAAAATTTATTTGGGTATCATCAACATAGGAATGACTTTGCAGTCCTATAAACTCAACTACTCAAATTGCATTTATAGATATTAAAAAGGAGAGGACCTAATATTGAGCCTTGGGATACTCCACAAGGAATAGTAACATTACTTGACTCTCCTTTAGAAAGAAAGAGATCAGTACAGTAACTACGCATAAAAGAGACTGCAGTACTTAAAATGCCTAAATAGTGCAGTATTGAAAATAGAACTTTATGATTGATTTTGTCGTAAGCTTTTGAGTAATCCAACAACATAAGCGCAGTTGTTTTGCTCATGTCACTCTCCCGAAGAATATCGTGTGTTATATTAAATAGTGCTGACATGCAGCTGTACCCTTTTCGAAATCCTGACTGTGGGGAGGGAACTAACTGGTTAATATGCAAATGATCTTTAATTTGTTGGTTTATTATTTTTTTCAAGAACTCATGAAAATACGGGTAAGACGCTTATAGGACTCAATTCGTCCATTGTTACTCTTTGATTTAGGTAATGGAAGGACCTCAGAAATTTTCTAAGTCTTAGGAAATACGGATTCGATAATGCAGCTACTCATTATATTCGTGATAAAAGGAAGTATTCTATCAAGGCACACCCATCGCAAGATATTTAATTTATAGAATATGTCGCTTAACGTCATTTGCTGTTACTGTGGCGAAACCAGGTAATCTATTAAACTCTTTTTTTGTATTTTGATTGTACAAATTAGTAAATTCTTATTAGGTGCATATCCAGTATCGCAATTCTTAATGAAAATTTTACTAATTTCCTCAGGATATTTGAAAGGTTCGGAATATCAATTTTGTTATGTTTGTTTATAATTTTTAAGTCTCTCAGTTTGCTCCACAATTGTTTTGTTTCCGATTAATTTGCATTAATAAAGTGTTCAAGATATATTTACTACTCATTATGGGTAGCTATATTAGTTTGATTTCTAATCTGTTTGTAATAGTCCTATTGTGTCTTAAATGTACAGCACACAATTTTTTTTAGATTATTTCTTAATTACTTGTTTTAAGTTATACGTGCCTGTGCAATCAGAGTAATAAGTAGGGGCCATTAAAATGATATTCAAGTCACCTCCGCACCCAATATTAACACAAGAAAAGTCCGATTGGCTAGTTTGAAAAAGTTTGAGATAATTTTAGAAAAATAGCTAAATAAATAAATAAATAAATCCTTGACCGAATAAAACTATTTCTTACGCGCAGACAATAGGAAGAAGAATCGACTTGCAGGAATCGACATATATTGCAGGAAAAGTCAAAGGATTTGCGTTTCACAGAGTGGAACAAAATTCTAAAAATGCCTTTTGAGTGTTTTAAACAATGTGATAAGAGGTTCAAAGCATATTATTCTCTCGTAGCTTCACGTTTTCAATATGAGATTTAAATAATAACTTAACATCTAAGGTTATATTCAATTCTCTGACACTCACAATTTTAAGTCCAAAGATGAACTTTAATGCGTATAGTAAATGTATAGTTTGTCGGTATTTAGTTTAGCCGTTTTTGAAACGAGTGGAGATTATTGAAAAAATAGAATTTAGTAAAAGGAAACGAAACATTCTTGGAGGAGGAGAAGAGTCTCGCCGGTAAATATCGAAATAAATAATAAGGAAATTGCTTTTAAGAACCATGTCAAATATCTAGGAGTGCTGCTATAAAAACATTTGAAGTGTAATATATCTGCGATAAAGCAGACCCGCAAATCTTAATGACGTTACCCCATACTCTGATTAGGACCCACCTAGATTATGGTTCCATTTTCTTGAACCCAACAACAAGGATGCACTTAACAAGCTCAACGTGACCCATTTCGAAGATTTGAGAACAGCGCTGGGATTTATAAGGTCAACCCCAACGAATGTCTCGCTGGCTGAAGCATCGGAAATGGACCTGGATACAAGCACGAGACAACTGGCAGTGTCCTTTCTGTCTGGAGTCCTCGCTATTTCGGCCCACCCCATAGCAGACCTCCTAGAGGGACTCCAAAATTACTGTGGTATGTACGGAGGTGCTTTAGTTGATAGAATTTCGGGTGCCCCATACCTGGTTCAGGCATTTAATATGTATCTGCCTTACTGCAACAGGCTTTACTCGAGTGCGACATTTCCATGCTTAACTTTTTTAACTCAATTGCCTTGATCGAACCACTTAAACTAAATATAAATAGAGACAATGCAGAAGCACATTTTAGAGAGAAAATAGAGAAATATGAATACCCAATCACATTGTCTAGTTTTTACTGATGCTTCTAAACAGGGTGAGAGGGTTGGATTTGGTGTATATATACCAAAAAAAAAATTATAAATTTTCGGCAAAACTTCACCACCGCCACAGCAGAGATGATAGCAATAAAAGAGGGACTAAGAGTTGCTCTACAAAGAGCCTTTACAAAAATTATTATTTTCTCAGATTCCCTAAGCGGGATTTCTAAAATTTCAAATGGAAACACCGACACTAAAATGGACTACATCACTTTACAGGTTCGAGAGATGATGATTAGTGCGAAAAGTATGGGAGTAGATGTTATGATGGCCTGGATACCGGTATTAAAGGTAATGAAAAAATGGATACCCTGGCTAAAATAGGAAAAGACCTAAACATCCCTTGAATATTAAACTGGACATACAAGACGTGAAGAATAAAATTCTTAGAGATATTACTAGTATTTTTCAAGAACGGTAGAAAAACTCAATACAAGAAAAAGGTAAAGCATATAGAAAGTTAATACAACATAATTTTCCTAATTGAAGATGGTTTTCTGAACTTACATAGACAGACGCCATATAACAACTATAATTAGAATGAGAACTGGACACTGCTCGATGGGGGAGTACCTGGTCCGGATAGGGGTTAGGGACTCTCCTTTCTGCGAGTTTGTGTTGAAAATATTTTAAGCACCCCGAGTGCGGAGATCATACAAATGGTCGTGTGCTTTCTAGATTATAAGATAAAACTTTAAGTTAGTAATCGAGGTCGGACAGCCTCTCCCTAGTAACAATACTAGCGAATTTTAAATTATATGCATTTGAATATGTTGTTTTTTCTCAGATCTGACCAGCCTGGTCCCATGGTCCATCCTAGGCCAGGAACGCCCGTCTCAAGTTCCACTGTGCTGGAGATTGTTTGTCTTTTTCTATTTTTAGATGTGTCCGTCTTGTCTATTTGTCTTTAGTTTTTGTGTGCTGTGAGCCCGCCTAATAACGGACCCTATCTCCTCAGCAGCATTTTATGCCTCTTAATAAAAAACAGAAGTATGAAAAGTAAACTTCCCCAAGAGAACAGTCTCGATTATCTGTGGCAGTTCTAAATAGTGCTGGCAAATTGTCTAGTAGCAGCGCCAATTCCAAATAAAAAGAAGAAGAACATTGTTGTCAAGTTTTGGTGGAACCCTGACAGGATCGATGCGACTAATTATATTTTCTACGGACACTATAATTTGTCTTTTTTATTAAAGCAATGAAAATGTATCGGACGTTCAACGTTTTGCTTGACAACGTAAATCGATCGAACCAAATACTAACAAATAATTTATTTCTGAAATTGGGATGCAAATCCCAGTAAAAATATATAGGGTATTCAAAAAAATATCAATTTGTTAATTGTTTTTCTATAAGGCAACCATTTGTTTTTATTGATACGTTCAGAAGACAATAGAGAAAAAATCATCCCACTTCTATATAAACAGTTTTTACGTAGCTTATTTAATAAACTTGACAGGTGGGTGTCAAAATATAAAGGTAAACCCTGTTCAGTTCCGAGATTCTTTTAAAAAATGTAGAGTCGAGTCTCTGGCATAAGGCGAACATCAGTTGGGGATGTTAACGACTTTCGTTTGTTTATTTTCACGCCTAAACGAGCTTCCCACTTGTTGACGGAAACAATCTCGCATCTCGCACCGAAATATCCAGGGCTTTGCATTCCAAGACACGTTTCCCGTTATCCAAAATACCTGCCTACGACTTTTAAGGCACCCGCCATTTATTTTGGAGATTTACCGGGCGTATTTCTTGAAATTCTTTTCGCGAGGAATTGTATTAAAATTCCGAATTATGTGGTTCCCCTTTGCTGAATTTTTTATGCGACCGTTCGTGGCTATAATTCGCGAAATTGACTTCAGATATCACCTTCGTTACGCCTAAAGTATTTTGTATTCAACCCTTAGTGGTATATTTTGGGGTTTCTTTTGCACACGTCCGTAACAATCGAGGAAACCTTTGTCTGCGGACCCGCATCAGCAACTCGGCTTATATTAAAAGATAAAAGTAAATATGTAACGTATGAACTTACCAAGTCTCGTTTCCTGTGGTCCCTGAGGCTGAGCCTCTGTTTCCAATCTCTCTTTGGCGTCGAATCTGTACTCGAGGGGCTTAGCATAGGCGTAGACTGCATGATCTGAAAGAAAGACAACGATTATTTTGTTGCCAGAAGGTTTTTAGAAGTATTTTTCTTTATTTGGAAACACAATCAGTTATTTATAGTCAGTTTACAAAATTACTTAAAAATTGTTATAACAGTTCCATGAAACAGTGTCGGTTGATATTCGAGTTCAATTTTCCAATGAACTAGTCTGTTAAGTATTATTTATAGTCTATTTCAGAAAGGTGTAGGTTAACAAAACCTCATTAGCTGTCGAAAGGGACTAAAGAGTAACCTAACGAATATTTAAGCCACTTTCATTGTCTAGCATAAATTTGATCTCAAAATTCTTTATTTTTATGGTCTGCAGGTAGTACCAGGCGGGATTGTTAAATTTGTGCCTATCGTTATAGATTCACCAATACAGGCATTCATATTACATAATTTTTTTTAATAAACATTACGCAAAATATACCTTATACAGAAATTAAATTATAAAAAATAATTTTTTGTTCTTAGAGGAACTGTCATCTTCTATTGAAAGTTAACGGATCGATAGATCGAAGGTCCAACATTTTCTTCTCTTCTTTATCGACATGCTGCCTTTCGCTACTTCTCGGGTGTCACTTTCTGAAAACCTTAAGGTCTTTTATTTTGAATATCGTATTGTGTCTGGCTACAAATCATTTGCCTTGCACCCATATAATTTCTAAAGGACTCCACGTCCCACGGTCATTTCATAAAACCATGTTTAAGTAAATTATGCATCCTGAATGGCCCTACCCTCTTATTTCCCTAAAAAGTCCGATCATTCCGATTGACACTTTGCTATAGCAATTGTTCAAAATGTTCAGATTTGATCCCATCTGAACATTTTTGGTTAATAAATAATCTTTGACAAAAAGTGAAACTGTCAAATTTAAAAATTCTCTCAGATACTAAGGTTAAGTATAGGTAAAACAAGTCTGCGATTGCGTTAAGCGTAGCTCGGAGCAACTTTATATTTTAAAGCCGCTTCGCGGTTTCTTGTCCTAGGGGGAGGTATGGTTTTTCTATCGTGCTCCTGCCGATCACTGTGGAACTTTTACAAAATTGATGTAAATATAATTTATTTTACAAATAACTTGCGCACCCTGCATGATACAAAACACTTACAATTCTCCCTTGACACAGTTTACGATACCGGTTATCCCATGTTTTATAATTTTTCGTTTACGTCTAAAATTTACACACAAAAACGGCAATTTTCAGGATCTCTTAATTTTTTTGCCAATAATCGACACTCCTTGTAGGTACATAATTTAAAATATGCTCTGGATCTCCACTTATCCTGGTATATGAATTTCTTCAATAAAGTAAATGGTTTTCGAGAAAGTACTTGTTTTCTGAAACCATACAGTATGTCGTCAATGACATCATCGCGCCTAGATTGAAATATCTCGAGCAGCGTGTATAATAGAAGAAAACCGTAAATACAATATTTTACGCGAATTTTGATTTACGGCTCTGTGCTCTCGAAAAGAAAAATTTTCAATATGTTTTAGATTTTTGTCTATAATAGAAAAATCCTGTACATAATCTAAAAAATGGTTAACATAGAGGGTAAAGTGCCCATCGGGTTAAAAGTTCTCAAGAAAACAATTTTTTTCTGGAAGACAAATAATTCAAAAGAAAAATTCCCAAATTCTGAAAAAATAATTCGCGATACTCGATTGCGCCCAACTTGAACAGTTTGAAAGTGGGTGTATGCTTCTACGTTCCCATGAAATCTGAAGTAGTTGCAAACTTAAGGCATCTATTACGTTTTTTAATATTGCACGGAATATAGGGAAACTCTGCACAATAGGTGAAAACCTTAAACACAAAAGTTTAGATCTCTCTAAATTCACAACTGCTATGGCATTCATTAAAAGACGAACCCAATTTTCATTTTTTTGCTAATACCGAGCACACTCTGTACATTTTTTAAATTGTAAAATTGTTCAAGAACTTTTTCTATCGTGTATATAGTGTTTGACAAATGATTCGAACCCCAGCGGTTTTTATAAATACTTCCCAGCTTCAGCTCTCAATTGGCTTCATAAGGGGTAAAGGGATGTTGCATCTTCTTCTTCTTCACGTGCCATCTCCGCTGCGAAGGTTGGCAATCATCAATGCAATTCGTATCCTTGAGACTGCAGCACGAAACAATTGGTTGGAGTTACATCCAAACCATTCTCTCAGATTACGCAACCATGACATCCTTCTCCTTCCGATACTCCGTTTACCTTGGATTTTACCTTGCATAATCAGTTGTAGCAATTTATATTTTTCTCCGCGTGTAATATGCCCCAGATACTGCAATTTTCTTATTTTGACCGTATCCATTATTTCACGTTGCTTGTCCATCCTCACAAGTACTTGTTCGTTTGTCATTCTGTCCGTCCAGGATATCCTTAAAATTCTTCGGTACGTCCACATCTCAAAAGCTTCTAGTTTATTCAGGCATTGTTTATTCAAAGTCCAGGCCTCCACGCCATACAAGAGGACCGAGAAAACATAGCATTTAAGCATCCTCACTCTCAAACTTAAGCTCAAATCCCTGCTGCACAACAATTTCCTCATATTATTAAAAGCACTTCTGGACTTTTCTATTCTTATTCTGATTTCTTTGGAATAGTCATTTGTCTCGTTAATGTTCGTCCCCAGATAATTATAATTCCTTACTTGTTCTATCTGTTCATTCTTTATATAAAGGTTTGTATTGATAATAGATTTTTTTTTTTTTTTTTGATGTTGCATAGCAATGTCCAAAAAACCAACAAAAAAGATGGACGCCGGTCTCTGATCGGGATTATTTTTTATTGACTTGTAAGTCTTGCGGACTGGAGCGAAATCTGAACCACGTAGGTAGAACCTTTTAAAAGTTATGGCCTTATAATGGCCTTATCTACAGAGAAACGGAGAACGGAGTACGGACAGAAAAAATTTAAAAAAAATCAAAGCTGTACCAATGGCGGTTCCCTACCGTTGCCGAGGTTTTTTCATCGATTTTTCCAAAACTACAAGAAACTCATGAAACACACAGAATCAGTGAATACAGTGAAGCAGACAGTTCAAAAAATATATGTTTATAAAATGCATGCATATTTTGAAATATTTTCATAACCTGTAAGTAGCTGATGCAATTATCCAAACAATATTATATTTTTCATCACACCCAAGGCTATCTGTCTTCTTCTGATCTGTCATCAACAACATTATAGTCTGTTGGTGACCGCTCGTTTTTATGTTTTTATTTAAACGTCAATGCAATTATGAAACTTTTGTTGTAAATATAGAGCTGTAAAATAAAGGTTGAAAAAAATTTCCACCAAAAATTGCCTTAAATATTTTTCATGTTGTTAAAATTATATTTTTAACATTACTTAGTGAGAATTGCAAAAAATCTATGGAAAATTAAGAGTTAATTGTTTCGCTAAACTGCAAAACAGAAAGTTAGTAGAAATTAATATTACAGTAAGTTAGCTATGCAGCTAAAGTGAATGAAATTGTTATTTTCGATGTCGAAATTTAGACGACAAAATTTCCACACAACGGGATTGATTGAAGGGGCAAGCGAAAGGTTGAAGATCTCGTTAAGAGGTCAGGAAAACAATTTATCGTAGTTGAAGGTTCCGGATAGATTGCTATTTTTTCATAGGACGAGCAATTTGAAATTTAAGTTGTTACATGCTACAAATAACAGGTAAATTTCAAGTTATCTATAAAAAGTGTTTTAAGGTCAAATGGACTTAAAATTTGTGAATGTTGAAAAAGTATTAAATTAATAACTACTAAATATAGAAATTTTGGAAAAAAAAAGAAAAGTCGATGTATTTTTTAACTTTTAGTGCACATGTAGACTTTAGAAAATATTAGTAAAACACAAAGTAAAAAGTTGAAAGTGCTATCTGGCTGAAACAAATTCGGAAAAAATGCAGCATCACCCTGTACCTAATTTTTTTAAAGATTTGCAAGAACCTAGCCATAGCGGATAAACTTTCCAAAGATACAAGTTGAGCATACTCTTTTGACCTCAGCAAAAAGTCCACAATTTTTGTTCAGCCTATTCGAGAGTTCAGTATCCATCTCGATCGTCATTTACTGACACGTCGATTAAATTGCGTGTCGGGGTGTTTCCGGGTTGCCTAAATACGCTTTCCGTATCAGTTGGAAACAAGAAATAAAACTTTTTTATTCCTTTGCGGATGCCCCAAGAGAGGATAAATATTTCATCATTCGATTCTATATAATGGAATTTTTCTGTTTGCCTGTAAACTTCAGTTATATTTTCAGGGAATCAATTTTATTGGGACGTTTTTTTTTTATAAAAGAAGCGCGCCAGCCCCATTACAAGAATTACGATTCTTTAAAAACACTTTCGAGTATTTGCTATGGCGTATAGACAAGATCGATCTTTTAGTACATTATATTATGTGGTTTGATATATATCTACCAGACGATTTTCTTGGTAAACAAGCAGCTTCGGGGTTATTGAAAATATACAAAAAAAGTATAATTCAAAGTTTAACAACAACATTAGATATATTTTTGGTTAGTAACGTACATCTAAGGGACAGTCCGTTTATTTTCGGCACTGTCATCTCACAGAAAATATACGAGAGGCAACAAAAAAATGCTTTTCCTTACGTCTTACAATTTTATGCTGAATATGACTATTGCCTTTATAGATTTATTTTAATTTATGAAAATAATAAAAATTATTTTTTTCAAATGGAAGAATTTGCGTTGGCCATATAAATTATCTATTGAATAAGGTATACGACAAATATGAAGCCGTTCATAATTGATATCGCGTTTGTAACTTTATTAAATGTAAAATAGACCACTTGTGTTTAAATTCATATAAAATTTAATTATTTTGACAATAATATTAGCAATAAAGTAATAACCTCTTCAAAGACTCAACACACAAATATATATAAAAAAACGTATACAATTTATCCCACTTAAGAAATTGACACCCTTGTAAAATCTTTGTTTATGGTTCGATT